TGACTGGCGGAACGGACGGGGCGGGTACAGCTGGCTCTGCCTTTAGATAGGCAGAGCCATCTGTCAGTCACGCAGCTGGGCGAATCCCGACACAATTGTCGGGATCCGTTTCAGCTGCGGTGTCTCAGTATACCTCGAGCAGCAGCTCGCTGTATATGCTGATTTGAAAAATGTTCCGGAGGGCTTGGCAGCGAAAGGGTTAAGTTACTATAGGTTAAAGACGAATTCTACCCAATTAAGTGCGTAGGAGGAATCTGGTGGGTTAGTTAATGAAAAATTAGTTTAATTAGTAAATTTCTATTCTGTCTGTTCTTTTGGTTCCTTTGGGGGTCATAGAATCAAAAGCCTAAGAAGATAGTTGCAGACATCCATTTTCAGCCTTAGTCTTAAGGATCCTCAAGCAAATTTTATTTCCTGGCCATCTTGGAGATAAAATCTTTCTAGTGTTAGCTGATCTTCCCACAGGACCTTAAGCTACGAATGGTAGCCTCAAGGGAATAGAAGGTATAAGATTATATCTGAAGTGTCTGAGCTGTCCTCGCTTAGATCAACTTACAGTTTAGTTAAACCTAGATAGACATTGGCTACTAAAATGTGGAAATTATTGCCGTGAGAGATGAAAATTACCAGAGTGATTATCATGAGAGTGGCATGACACCAGAAAGATTGCAATAAGAGATGCACATTAATAGGGGAACTTCCTTGAGAGCTGCACAATACCAGTGAGATTGCTGTGCATTACAAGATAGTTTGCCATGAGACCCTATTATTTCCAAAAGAGCTACACGTTTCCACTGTCACGAGTGGAAAGCTTCACTTTATACACATTACTCTCCTGCCAAAAAGCTTGTAAAGTGGACCTATGTATACTCAAATGTTACATTTGTTTGCATGTAATCCCTCCTATAGCAGCACTACCTCCATTTTTTTGTTTGTTTTGAATTCTCTCCATTAATAGAGACCATTTGACCAAATGCCTAGGCTTTTGGTTACATTCATAGAAGGAGACGAAGCTTTGAACAGTGTTTTTTTCAGGAAACGTTATGAATTTTATCTTTTCTATTACTATTTATTTATCCTTCCTAGCAAATAAAAGTGGCCCTCAACACTATGCTGCACCTAAGCTTTTTCCCACAACGCACCACTCCAGGTTGTGATGCTCTATTCTTATTTATCCATCCCTAGAACAAACTGTTCCATTGCATTATGTTAATACGTAAGTGCAGTTCCACTTTAAAACACTTCTCTATGAGCTCTGCATAAAATTAAAAATGGCATTGCCATAATAAACAATAATAGTAATTTCATTACACTATTGCACCAACACTGGCACTTGCTCATTTTGCGTCTTAAGCCGCAAAGTACCACCCGAGGCATCACTTTTCTGATGACCCTACAGCTGTCTGTTAGAATTTACAAACTTTCCATGAACAAATCATTCTCATTTGACAGTAAACAAAATGAAAACAATTCTAAG